TGAATTGGAATATAGTTCTCCGAATGCTTTCATATAGGAAAAATATTGTCGAGGTACCGCTTATAGATAAAATGTGATATCACGCAATGAAACAAAATTGTACTATATATATATGTTTCATGAATATGTTAGCGTATGTTTGGGGCCGCTTTTGTACCCTTTACTCTGCGGCTGACTTGAAGTTAGTGCTGATTGTTATATTCAAAGCTGTTCAAATCGCGTACAAGTCTTGTTAAAAATTCAATCATTTTTCAACTGGATATGTGTCAGGTTTCTGGGTGTCACACGATTTAACAAGTGCCTTCATACCATCGCCATGACATTTGTATAGAGTATATATATATATATATATATATTATATATATATATATATATATATATATATATATATATATATATATATATATAGTGGGAGTAATAATTCAATGGGCCAGTTAGTCTTCGTGAAGGTGCCGGGAGGGTCCGTGACGGCGTGCGTAAAGAAAGGGTTTCCCGGTGATGTGTCGGTCGGCGTGCGGCGTGCGTAAAGGAAGGGGTTCCCGTTAATGGGTCGGTCGGCTCTTTTTACCTTTAATCGGACGATGATTAAAGGTAAAAAGAGCCGACCGACCCATTTGTTTATTTATTTATTTGCAATACCCTCAAGGCCAAACGGCATTACAGAGGGCAGTGGTTGCGATAGAAAAGACAAAAATTCTTACAAATGCAGCGGCGAATCTTACATCGAGCAGAAGATCTTAATTACACAGGTTAGCTAACAGGCTTTATAGCAAACGAAAACGCGGGAATGATGAGAATTACATCAAGACAGAAAAAACGACAAGAAAATAAATACTGTACAGGAACAACACAGCATCGGGTAATACAATACTTTGTTGGCTGTAATTACACATAACTAGCTAAGACACTTTTGAAATGAAGGTGATTTACAATGGCTGCTGCTGATGCGGAAGCCGGTTCCAGTCCTCAGAGGTGCGAGGTATGAAAGACTGAGAAAAGGTGCGAGTCCTGCAAGAAGGCAACCCGACCTTATGAGAATGATCCAGCCGGGGTGAGATATAACTAGGAGGCAAGATAACACCGTCCCGCAGCGATGTGTGACGAAACAGCTTGTGAAACAAGTGGAGACGAAACATTTTACGACGGGATGAAGGTGAAGGTAAGTTGAGGCTAGATTTCATGGCTGTTATGCTAGCTGTCCTCTTGTAATTGGAAAGTATAAAACGAATTGAGTTATTCTGTACCAATTCAAGAGAGTGTATTAGGTTGGCATGACTAGGATCCCATACTGCAGAAGAATATTCAAGTTTAGGTCGTATTAGTGGGAAGGGGTTCCCATTAACGGAAACCCCTTCCTTTACGCACGCCGCACGCCGACCGACCCATTACGGGGAAACCCTTTCTTTACGCACGCCGTCACGGACCCTCCCGGCACCGCGGCGACAATCTTAGGTGGCCCGACACACGTCGAGAACTGAACAGCACGTGATAAGAAACGTATGTGGACGTACACGGACAGTTGGTTTCGTTCTCAGTGTTGACAGTGGTTCTTCCTCTTGTTTACTTTCTTTCTTTTCTTTCTTTTTCTTTTTTTCTCCCCCCCTTTTTTTCTTTTCTTTTTTTAGCTCCCTCTCACTCTCGCAAACATGTTTCAAGGCGAGAGGGACGCGGCAGCAACGAAGTTTGGAAATTCATGTCAGTATAACTCATCCCCTGATGAAGGGAGGACCCCTCCCACGAAACTGTTGGGAAATAAATATTTATCCTTGTTGACAACGCTCCCGTTGTGCCATATCCCATACCATATATATATATATATATCACGAGAAAAACCGCAGGATATTTCGATCACAATTTTTAACATCACAATATGACGCCCCTAAAATCAGGCATCGCGCACGCGCAGATCGCATGAAAGTAATTTACGGGCAGCATCGACACAGTATCAGCAATATTATTGTGCATATATATATATATATATATATATATATATATATTATTGCCGATACTGAGTCGATACTGCAGAATAAGTTACTTTCATGCAATCTGCGTGATGCCTCATTTAAAGAGCATCATACTTTTACCGAGAACTTCAAAAATATAGGCTTAATTCAGCTTGAACATGCATTATAAAATAAATGTTAACCTAGCGATTGACATATGGTGTGGTTTTTCTTATGAGAGCACGATTTCATTCAAAAGCGATAAGAAAACATCCTTTTATTGAACCTTGAAGGTAAATTAGTTATTATCGGTACTACAAGCTCTTTCAGCCTCACAGTACACAAAGAATATTGCACAAGAAATTACTGGAAGTATTGGGAAAGTGAACTACTCATACACATATAGGATACATCATAATTATATTATGGCTTGTTCGTAAACTAATCGTATATTATACTTCAAGAGTAATGCTGAAAAAAAAAGGCCCTTGCAATCCACAATGCATTTCACAACAAAAGAACACTAATGGTCCTGTTTACAGGACGAATACGGTATCACGACATAGGAGTTTTCTGCACTGAGACTTTTTTATGTGTAATGATGAAAAATATGAGGGCAGATTTATAATACGGGTTTTTAACTGTATCTAATTCATCTTCATATGGCTGAGACAAAAATCCTAACATTATGAAATATGGTCATTGCTAGCAACGTTCAGACAAAGTCTGCTTCACAGGTTTGATTCTAAGAAAATATTTCCCAAGTCAGTTAATGAACCTTAGATAGACAAAACTTCCGCAGCCCTCTCATACGGCATCTCCCATAATTAGACCGTCACTTAGAAACGCGTAACTGTCTAAAACGGTCCTCCTTAACGTCCATGTCTCAAAATAACGTAGCATCAGTATCGTTAAAAAATTGAATTGCTGCACAAACTTGTACAGCAATTCAATTCAAGTTTGTGCAGCAATTTAATTTTTTCAAGTATGAATCAACTAGTCTGCAAAAAAGTATTGCATCAGTATCGTGTCACACACCTCGTCTGTCATGGAGCTTCCAATATGAAAGTGGTAAAGTGTAGGCATAAATCAATTCTGCGATGCCATCTCTTTTGAGAAGGTGGATTACCCTAATAAATGTTGCAATAGGGGACATTATGAAAGGGTGCGACATATCCTTAACGGCATCATGTCTTGCACATTTAAAAGGAAAGAGTGGGCCAGACGCAGTGTCTGTCTTCTGTCTTGGCGTCGCAGAATTTCGCTCTGCAATATACCAGCGAGTGCAGACACCCCTATCTCCACCAAATCAGGCCCATTCCCCAAACGATGTGGTTTTGGTGATCGAGCAACAGTATACCTCGCAGCAGACGGGACAGATGTAGCAGGGTAGGCCAGGCAGTGGGGTCTATGGCTGTGGTTGCATTTGCCCTCTACCTACGTACTTTGGCTGCTTTAGGTGATGACCGCAGTAAGTTCTCAGCATTAATTACATTGCTGAAATAAAACTTCTCAAAACAAAAAAGTGTGGTCACAGTGTTGAGAGCTTTCTTTTGCGCGCCTCCCTTTCATCTAAATCCCCAAAGATAGTGACGGCCTTTCACGTCCGTCCCCCCTTTCTAAGACAAATGGGCAGACACTTCTACATCGCCACTGGAACATGGCTTAATGCAAAGGTACAATGCCCTTGCACATTACCAATCCCTGTGGCACCGAATTAAAAACGTTTGAGCTCGTAACAGGGCAGCTCCTTAAGGTCGCGCTGCATCTCTGTGAAGTGTAACACATCTCTTGGCGGATAAGTGCCAACTACTCACCTCCAAACAACTACAAGGGAAGAAACTGTCTATAGTAAATCTAGCTGACATGTTTCAGGCAGTTCCAGTGAGGTGATGTGCAAGAAAAATTGGCAAAGCGTTGCTACTCACCTCTGGTTCACAAAACACTATATAAAAAATTGAAGTTTGCAGCATCTCAACTGACTGAAGATCACGAAGAGTGATTAAACACTACTAATGATGGCTAAACTGTTTTAGTGCAAAGAAAAGGTGCACGAAATAGCATTGTTGTTACGTATTGCAAGGGGGTCACGCAAACACTGCTTTTATTATGGGCGAACTTGTGCATAACCGAGTATAGTGAAATAAATAAAAAAGTCTGCTAAAGCGTTCAACTTATGCTGCAGTTCTCTTATGCTGCAGTGTTTCATGTGATAAACGTCTTGTGGCCGAGGCATGTCCGTTTTGTTGGAACCTTAGTGAAAGCAGTCTGTGCGGCAATATGTTGACACAAACTCACTGTTTCACCAGTATTTGCAAAGCTCAGTCAGTGAGGCAGGTTACCATTTTTTTAACAATGCATACGTCACAGAGAAATGACGAAACGTTATCAGACCAAATGAAGTAGTGTTGTCACGTAAAAGGGTTGCACTGTGCTATACGGGGTTATGCCAGCACGCATAGTAAACACGAACTTTTGCTTATACCACCGCAACGTGTTGCTGGTGAAGTGAGAAGAAACAAAGGTAGAAAGAGGGTTGCCGGTATTGCAAGAAACTGCTCCCCTCTAAAAATTTCCGCAGTGCTAGAACGTCCACTCTCTAGCGTCGGCACATCTTCGTTTCTTCGCCTATTCAAGAGCTATAAAGCTGTGCTGTATGTTGAAAGCCCCGTGGACCAAAAGGGGCTGGTCTTGAGGTAAAAACAGAGAAGTAGCTCTTGGTTCTAATGAAATGAAACCCCGCTCGAAATTTTCGCAATCACACTCATAAATGTATTCCTCGGTCACTCTCATTAGGGGATGCATAGAGTGCATACACCAGCAGCAGAAAAGAGCCCCAGGTAGCACAAAGGTAGGATATGCAAAGTGGTATCTGTTCAGCAGGGACCTGTCCTGTCCCTTGTTCTCTGGCTGTTTTGTTCACTTCGCCTTTCACATCTCGCCGTGATGCCGAATCACATGCCAGGTTTCAGGCTACCTGCTGCGCTCTTGTGTGTGCCCTTTCATAAAATATATGTTTTTGCATATCGATAATCAAATGCTTACTTTTTCGCTCAGGTGATCGAGGCGTTTTCGCGACCTGTCAGCATCTACAAGGACAGCAACAACTCACCCTTCAAGTGCCTGAGCGCTACACGAACTCGCTTCGACCCTCAAGCAAAGGAAGCAACCTACATTTGGCACCTGAGAGATGACCATGGCAGAGTGAAGTAAGCTGCTCTCTTTTTTTATGGCAATTTTTCAAACTTGTTCTCCTTTCTGGTGCTAAAACTATTCAAGATTCTCCATGGATACCATGGTTGCCAAGGCACTGCTGCGCACAGTGTACCTGAAAATGAAGAATAAACATTTTCAGCTTCAATAATGGCCACCGAGAGTGTGTTAATTGCTAATTGAATGCACGAAAACATAATGACAAGCTTGGTTTTGCGAGCAGCGTAAAAAAACAAAAAAAAACAACGGATTGTCATTAGTACTTCCGAGAACCCACAAAGGCTTTTTATAGATAGTGGCCTCGTGAAAGCAAACTCCTAAATTATTTTTTTACAGATAAGTCTGCTACGCATCGGGATGCATCAGAGGAAAATAATATCGGGGCAAATATTGAGAGGCTGTCGAATAAGCTTGGGAAACTAAAACACTGCTGGGGTAAACTTAAGGGCTGGTATTTCTTTGTTAGACGGAATAACAATAAGAACTGACAAGCAATTAGGTCAAGGAAAAGGGGATAGTAATAAAAGTAATTGTAGTGTAGTTGTAAAAACTGAAATGTGGACGAAGAGATAACTTGCTGTGGGGTGACCTTCGAAAAACGCCTCCGATGCTATAGCAACTGAACTACCACTGCGGTTTTCACCCAGTTCACTTCATGGGGTAGGCATGTGCATTTAAACGTGGGAGTGTCAGTAAGCACCACCTGTTGCCAATAGGGCGAGTGTGGAACACTAATTTTTTGCCAGTTGGCTTCACGTAGCACGGGATCTTATTACGAGCTCGCAGCTAAACAATGATACTTTGCACACCACCTGAAGGCATTAAGTCAGCCAGAATGAGACTCTTGCCATGAATGGAAAAAAAAGAAAGGTAAATTTAGGGGTTGTTTATTTTTTTTTCGTTATACATAATACTATTGAGAACTCCAACGTTTCAGTGCACATACATGCATCATGAAGTGAACGGGGTGATAGCCGCCGGGGTAGCTCAGTTCTTAGAGCATCGTTCACGTTATTGGAAGGTCGAAGTTCGGTCCCTACCCACGGTAAGTTATCTTTTTGTTCACTTTTCTCGTCACAATTACATAATAAAGACTTCTCATACAATACCATATACTTTTTTGGCATGATTGTCTGCCAGTTCTCATTAAAACAGAGCTGGCACCGTTACAACTTCAGGAGAAAATTCATGGTGCTTACTTGTGCCTGTGCAACACGAGTGAGCACGGCGAATCTGTAGTAGTGTTGGGACTCAATGTGTACACCTTTAATGCACCATAACTGACATATATTAGGTTATGTTGCCTGGGCCTACGGTCCTTGTGGTTTTTGCGATTGCTTGCGTATCATTGATGTGATCGTATTGTCATCGATAGGCAGGAGAAAGTCGCTTCTGTTTCAGGATACCTTAAAATAAAACAGAATTGCGTCGTTTCTGGCCCTTGAGGAAGCTCATTTTTTGTAAAATTAAGGTTGCGCAACAGTATAGTATGCACACGTTACAAGAATAACGACCACTGGCAATGCATATTCGTTTTATGCTGAGCAAAGAAGGCCACGTTTGTATTGCCATCCGCTATCTATGACATAACATTTTTGATGTTACGGAGTCACCTATTAATGTGCTTTCACCAGTTTAGTGTAGCACGTTTTAATTTTCACCTATTTACACTTTCGCTCTCACTTAGAAATTTGGGCATTCATGTGTGCCAGACTTTCATTACAATACGAATGTCATATTTTGTATTATTGATTGGTGCAAACAACTGAAACAGAAGCACGTGAAAATTGTCACATGGAGGTACCTAATTAGCCAGAAAAAAAAAGAAGAGGTGGGCAAGATGGCGTTATGTCTGATATAGAGCATTCAGAAGAAGCAAATATGCGCACACGAGCACAACACGTGGATAGCGCCAAGATGAGGAATCAAACCACTGCAATGAAAAACAAAAGCATGCTAGTGGTGATTTTAAATACTAACTTCAGGTTTTATATTTCAAAGCGTATCTTTGAGTATCCCTCTGCGATTTGCTAACTGTTGCCCTGGTGAACTGGTTCCTGCAGCGAGCGACGTAAGTGCGGCTCCAGAGCTTACTAAACACGTGTGGTTTTGTTTTCGAAGGGAAGTTTATCTTGTATGAAGTTAGGTGCATAAGATTGCACATGGCTCTTCTGCCCTGTAGCAGAAGTATACAATCCGAGATTACCTGCTCACTCTTAGCACATTCATTTCTTCTGTTCACATATTTGTGAGCATGCTTCCTGAGCAGCACGGTTTTAACCTCAGAGCATTTCAAAATAGGATGCGCCCACTTCAACTAAGGAATGTAGTGCGATGGTCTTTGTAATATACAGAGTCTAAATAGTCGTGTAGACAGAGAACCATATAAAACTGCACACGTGATTTTCGTGCACAATGATTTTATTACACTTCGTTTCAGTTTATTCAAAGCAAAATTGTTAAAATTTGCCTTGGGGGTCCCGACTAAAGGTTGAATAAACGCCTCACTAGGTCGTGCCACCATGCCCGCAAGAACATGAACACAACAACAAGCATTTGTGTTACAGAATGCGCTTGTACATCATCATTATATGGAGTGGTTACAGGATTGAAAAAATTATGATATAAGTGAAAGAGAGTATAAACAGAGTTGTCTTAAAGTTGTATCAATACACCGAACTCAAAATGAACTTAGAACAAAAAGAAAGGTAATAAATATAGCTTCTCGCTGCAGTTTGCGAGTGAACTACACAGAAACTTTATCAACATTTACTAGAATGCTGGGAAAAGTAACAGTGAGTAATCAAAAATCAGTTTATTAAAAAAGTACAATCGATTACTGTAAAGTAATAAACTATCACTGGCTTAAAAAACAAGCTGGAAATGAATACAAGACATATATAGTCACCACATTTCAAGGATCAAAAGAATCATAATTTTCTACTGTTAGGAGTTCTCTTGATATTTTTAATGAAGTAACTGATGTTTCATCTTGCAATAAATGAAGCTTGATTGAAGTTCTTGATTTAGGATGTTTGGTATGCGTCAGCTTGATAGTTGGTCTCCGAAGTTGTGTGTGATATAGGTCTCCATATTAAGCTCCTACATAATTCATATGATGTTTGTTTAACATAATATGTATCCAAGAATGGAGATATATTTACCTTAAACTGATGTTGTACCTCTAACATAGCATGTGTCTGTATTACTGATTGATGGGCAATATTATGTAGCTTTCGAAACATGATCGAGTACTTTATGGAGTGCAGTGCTAGATATTGCACGTATTGCGCGCTTTTGCAGCACTAAAGAGAATTAATGTTTATGACAGTCGTTGTTAACCACGCTAAGGAACAGTACGGTAATCAGAGTATACAAGAGCATAGTAATTTTGTCGCTTGATATTTGTTCGGGTGAAGTACCTTAGCCTATTTAAAATGCCGATTCTTCTGAAGCATCATTTTTATTGTGTCTATGAGGGGGTCAAATAAAGTTGTTCTTCAAATTGAATTTCTAGGAATTTCATTTTTGCTGTTCGCGGAATCTCCACGCCCTGAAAGTAAATTTCTGCGCATGGAATGCATGTTACCCCTTTCGGTTTGAAGTACATGTATTGTTTTAGAGATGTTCAGTTGAAGTTTGATTACGTTTATTCATAACTTTCTCTAGTTCATTCATATGTTGGCTTCCTTATATATTATGCATACGTCTGATCCTGCAAAGAATACGTTTGTATGATTGGTATACAAAATTATTTTTAATATGCCTCAATATTTACAATATCTTAATGAACAACAGCAATAGAACTGGTCCCTGAGGATGGATGGATCTTTGAGGGTCACCATACGCAATGAGTTCGACTTGTAAGCGTATAATGTTTAGAGTTGTATATTGCTTTTGTCGATGACAGCTAACTTTGTATCAGTAGGACTGTGGTACCACAATTACAGGAGTACAGAAGTTTACCTAAAAGTACTGATTGATTGATTTGTGGGGTTTAACGTCCCAAAACCATCATTTGATTATGAGAGACGCCGTAGTGGAGGGCTCCGGAAATTTTGACCACCTAGGGTTCTTTAACGTGCACCCAAATCTGAGTACACGGGCCTACAACATTTCCGCCTCCATCGGAAACGCAGCCGCCGCAGCCGGGAATCGAACCCGCGACCTGCGGGTCAGCAGCCGAGTACCTTAGCCACTGGACCACCGCGGCGGGGCGTTACGTAAAAGTAGATCGTGTTGTATGCTCTCAAGTGGCTTACTGAAATCAAGAAACATTCCTTATGTGCCGATTTTGTTTTCAATCTTCTCTAGAATGTATTGTTTATTACGGAGTAAAGCAGATTCAGTACGTTTATTTTCGCGGAAACCATTGCGTTTTTTTTTTGCAATAACATTGTTTGCTCTTACAAAACCCGTGTATGTCTTATTTATATTACCCTCAGCCATTTTCACGGATACAGAAAGTTCTGAGATAGGTCTGTATTTGTTTAGACAACCAAACGAACCTTCTTTATATATTGTAGTAACTTTAGCAAGTTCCATTTGATCGGGAAGAAGTACAGACGGTAGCATCAAGTTATGAATGTGCGCACTCAGAGGAATAGTGATAATGTGACTAATAGCCTTTAACGGCTTAAGCTAATTGTCATGAGAAGCGCAAGCACATTGATCTTTTATTGACATGAATAATTTTTCCATGCTGTGTTGGTCAGTAGAATAGAGAAAAACACTGGATTATCAATTTGTGGCTTTATGATTCTCGAAATATGTTTCTGTGCTGTTCGCTGTAAACTGCTCAACTGTAAGAAAGTGTTTGTTAAAAGTGTCAGCAATTTCTGATTTACTCATACCGAGTTTTCTGAACTTGATCCTTCTCGATACCTCTCTTTTGTCAACCAGCTCATTTATTGTATCACACAGGAGGCGTGCATCTCTTCAATGAGCGGTAAATTTATTGATATTGTAATTTGTCTTAGCTATCTTAAATTCATTGTACATATTCTTACGGATTTTTTTATAACTGCGTAGGTCGTTTGCATCTCTGAAGGATAAAAATGTTTGAAATAGGTTGTTTCTTAATTTAATTTTGTTGTACAATTCCCCTGCCACCCATGGCTTTCAAATTCTTTAATTTTCTGTGGCGCCTAAGAAAAAAGCATTTCTTATAAATGGAGGCCAAGTACTCCACAAAAATGTTGTAAGATTTATTAGGATCAGTTTCTTCAATAATTGGGCTTCCGTGAATTTCAGTGATTAGGTTCCTAAATAGTCCCATAATATGGATGGAGTAACTCGTGAGTCACACTTCAACCTTGTTGCCCCACCGCGGTGGTCTAGTGGCTAAGGTACTCGCTTGCTGACCCGCAGGTCGCGGGATCATATGCAGCCGCCACGGGCTGCGGCGGCTGCGTTTCCGATGCAGGTGAAAATGCTGTAGGCCCGTGTGCTCAGATTTGGGTGCACGTTAAATAAACCCAGGTGGTCGAACCTTCCGGAGCCATTTACTACGGCGTCTCTCATAATCATATGGTGGTTCTGGGACGTTAAACCCCACATATCTATCTATCTATCCATCTATCGTCATCCTTATTTCGGGCCACACGATTGCCAGGTAAGGAGCACTATATTGGAAAATGATCGCTAATGTCGACAGTAATCGCACCTGTTTCATTATCCACAAAACCGAAGCTTGAGATACATACGTGTAATGTTAATCCAAAATCTAGATGGGAGCCGACAGATAGAAGCAGGAAGTGGGATAGTCGTGGTAAACAGTGGAAGCGCCTCAGACAGGCTGGCCGACGTCTCGATAGGAGGACCTATTTTTGTCAAAAGCACCTTGTCATTCTTGGCGTATTACTTAATAGTGAACCCCTTATTGTCTCCCCCTTTTTCCCCATCCCCAGAGAACATTTGGAATCACTACCCCCTAACTTGAAGTGAAGCGAGGAGTGCACTCTTCTGCTTTAGAGTTTTGTTTTATTTTCCGGCAGCAATTGCCAACAGGGACATGTGCTACCACCAGGAGATTCCGTCACTAAAGACCCCCTTAATACTAACATGCCAAGAATGACAACGTGCCTTTGACGAAGAGAGGTCCTCCTACCAAAACGCTGGTCAGCTTGTTTGAGGCACTTCCACTGTTCACCCTGACTATCCCAATAAGTCTAATGTTGTTTCAGATGTAGCTGTTATTCTGGTTTGTGTGTTGATTACATTCACACAGTCATCAGCGTCGATAATTTCATTCTGGCATACAAAGCCTGGATTATCTAGGAACCTATAAAATTAAATTCACCCACTAAAACAGTTTGCAGGCGGACATCCAAATATCTGTACAGTAGTTACTCGGTGAAATTTTGAAAAAAAAGCTTTCTGTTGAACCAGAAGCAGAGTGATAAACAACAAAAATGACACATCAGCACACTCTATCATTATACGCTCATAGCAACCATTTACGACCTTAAACTCAGGTATTATTCTATACGACAGGTTTGTACGAAAAAATTCAGAAACATCACTGCCACCGCCAAGCTTTCCTAATCTGCTTGCAGAGATGCAGATGGCAAATTTGCCGTGGCGTTTCATGCGAACATAACGTTTTTTATTTATTTATTGATTTATTGGTTGATTGATTGATTGATTGAATGATATGTAGGGTTTAAGGTCCCAGAACCACCATATGATTATAAAAGACGCCGTAGTGGAGGGCTTCGGAAGATTAGACAACTGGGGGTTCTTGACGTGCACCGAAATCTGAGAACACGGGCCTACAGCACTTTTGCCTCCATCGAAAATGAAGTCACCACCGCGGGGATTCAACCCCTCGACCCGCGGGTAAATAGCCGAGTACCTCAGCCAATGCGGCGGGGCCAACGAAAATGCCATCAGCACTGGGTGTTCCCAGGTAGTTACCCTGCCAGTACTGACCGAGCTCAATGCTGCTTGACCTCGATGTACGACGAAAACTGGCGCATTCAGCATGGTAGGGCCGATGGACACATATCGTATCTATTTGTGTAAAAAAATGTGTCAAAATCAGCAGGTAATGGGGCAGTGCAACTACCTTGTAAGTTACTAGAAGGTAAAAGTTGTAATTCTGAGCTGCCCGAATTGTGTGCTCAGACTTCCGTTCCCCTGTGTTATGTTAGCAATATTTTCGGGGACGTGGGCATGCAGATTATGTCAGCTCGAAGGCCACACAAATCAGTTCGCCGAGCTGTGACAGTGTTGTGACAGTGTGTTATAAGCGACGAGCATGTTATTAGTAGCAAATGAAAAACGATCATCTTCTTCTTCTTAGGTATTTTTGTCTGAGCGTTGTGATTATATCCCATAAAAGCTACGACCCTTACTTAGGTACTTCCATTTGACTGTGTTAGTTGTGTTTCTATTGCTTTCTTCTATAGTTCGCTAATTATTGCAGTTGATTGTACAAAGTGAATTATTAATTAAATTTGATTTTCCAGGCAAAATGTAAGCTTCGACGTTGAGAAAGGAAAGGAAATTGACCAGGTCACCTTCTACGTCGACGATGGTGGGTTATTTTCTGAATCCAATTTTTGATAGTGCTCTGTGAAGATGCTCTCTGAAGATGCTCTCTGAACACTGCCCACACAACGCGCATAGTAATAACCATAACCACTTTCTACCTCGTAGCTTGTGGCGGAGAAGACAATTTTTGTAAGACCGTAGAAAAAAATGAAATTGCCAGGATCCTTTCTTCTCCTAATGCCCACAAACGAATAATCAAGTGAGCCCTTACTTGGCCCTAATGCATTATATCTTAGAGTAGGCCTAATAAATATTACCATTTAAATATTATTCAATTAGGGCAATGGTGAAGTCTGAGTCAACTGAAGGATGCAGTCACGTTCACGCATATTTGTAGCTCAGAAGTGGTGTCGCAGAAACTTCATTTAAAAGGGAAGCAGTCTCTTTTCCTATTACTATTGTGCATGGATCGTGAGTTTATGTATTACGATTGAAGTTCGTGGCGTCGTGAGAATATCAACAAAAAATTTTGAAGTCCTGCCACTCCTAATAAAACTCGAACACATTTGATGAATATGAAATGAATGCTGAGAACGAAAAATGAGAGAGTGCATGACAATTTGTTTCTGTTTTGGCAAGATGCTCACAAGCTGAGGCTTCCTCAATACATTTGCATAGGTTTGAGCTGATGTGGCTTAATATAACCTTTATGGTTCTCTACATGATGCGAATCATCTCCTAGTATAATCGAAAGTACTAACCAATACTGACACTTATGCCCGTAAGATTTCATAGCACCATCATATTTCAACGATGAGACCAAAAAAAACAACACTGTTCTCCCGCCTTCTCATACAAGCGTCGGGAAATTCTTCAAATTCTTGTCATTCATTAACAATGGTTGAACAAAGCAGTACAGCAAGAACTAGGCGTACAAAAAGGTGCCCTTTGTATATGACACATTTCATGAGAAGAAAATAGGAGATCTTTTCACCACCAGCGCGATTCTGACGTGGTTGATTGGTCAAATCAGCCTTAAGCAACTGGTCTACGCACTTAGATGGCTTGTAATATTTTGTATATTTTAATATATATCACTAACAATGCTGTTCATAAAATTCGGTTGCACGGGTTTTTTTTTGTAGCGATTCATTTGTGAAGAAAGCATAAAAAATAACCGTACTACTCTGATACACATGCAAGCGTAGAAATTTAAAATAAAATAACCGAAGCTAGGAATTATGTTAGGTAATAAAAAACTTATGAAAACAAAAATATACAACTTGATACGAGTATATATTTTATGTAAAGTACCAGAAATGCATATGCAAATGCAAAACTACCGCTAAGTTTCTACTTTCTTATCGTGTTCGAAAAAAAAAACTGCTGATTTTTAACTTTATTTTTCAGATCGAACTCACCCTTTTACTGCATACTGCAACTACACCGACTACCAGAACTGCATAGTCGTCATTGTTCCTTACAGTGGACACAATCGTAAGACATGAAATGACTTTTTTTCTCATTATTTTCGCGCGTTAAGTACAGTACCAGTAGTAGCAGTGCAAGTACCACAGCTCTAGTTTCATATTACGTTTACTTCAGGCTTAATTATGAAGACTTTGCTTGGAAAGCCAGAAACATGACGAACTTTTTCCGACACCCGTATTTTCTGAGCACTGACCAATGGAAGCAGACTGTTAGTCTAGCTACAACGCTCTTTTCTTTATAGAAAAACTTAATACTGCGAACTTGCCTCTCAAGACATATTTTATTGAACTATTGATGAGGTGGAATTCTTTCGCAGAATTATTTCTTCTAAAACTTGCGGGGTTCCTGGTGCATTCACGGAGATTAGTCAAAAATGAAGACTCCCCTTCTGAGTCGATGCGTTCCCCACTACCGTATGAAAGCTTCTTTCAGCCGACGCAGCCTTGCACTGACTCCAACATCGGCCCACCTTTGATCAAGCAAGGGTGTGATGACTCCACCATCTGAAGTCCACAGACTTTAACACTCTGACGTCACCAACGACGTAACAGCTATCGGCACATTCTGTAGTCATGATGTCCTTGTATGCTGGCGTCATCGATGATGATTTTAACATCACTCATGTGGAGGATGACGCGCAAAGCCCGTCAACTTCCAGATTTGCAGAGGCATGTAAGGATTTCGCCCTCATAAAAAAAACTAACAACTCTTCGACTGTTGTGGAGACGTAATAAATGCATCGGCATCACCTGCGGCTGCACGTTCTGCGCTAGTGGCTTCATGTTGGGCTAGCGCCTAATGGAACTTTCATGCACGTTGGCGCTCCTTCAGTAGCACTTCATATCTTGGCAAGCGCACCGAAAACAACACAAAAGAAAGAGAGACGTAAACAGGCCGGCCGCTAGTTTACGTATTTCTTTTGAGATTGTTCCGCTGCGCTTGCTAAGTTGCTCAAGTTCTACACCCCCCAACTAACCTAAACCTCTTCGTGGCATTACCTTCAGCTGCGGTTTTTTTTTTTTTGAGAGTGATCGACACGCATTCGTCGTTCTATAGCGAGCCCAATGAGCGATGAGCAACTGCTGATAAAAGCGATAGCGTGATATGTACATCACAATACATAGAGCCACAATACATAGACGTGGGAAGTGTAGCCGGCGAGTATCGCGGCATTCGGAAAAAAAAAGCATCGACCTCGCGATAGGTGACGGCAGCATGGGCTGAAACACTTGTTCATTCAATTCATTGATATGTGTGGTTTAACATCCCAAAACCACCATATGATTATGAGCGAGGCTATAGTGAGAGGCTTCGAAAATTTCGACCACCTGGGGTTCTTTAACATGCAGCCGAATCTAGAGCACGCGTGTTTTGAGCATTTTCACCTCCATCGGAAATGGAGCTGTCGAAGGATGGATGGATGGATGGATGGATATGGCTGTACCCTTTAGATCGGGCGGTGGCTAGCGCCACCAAGCCGAGATATAATCCCGCCACCTGTAGGTCAGCAGCCGAGTACCTTAGCCACTAGACCACGGTGGCAGGGCAGTGTTGTATAAACAAAAGAAAATCGTTAAGAGGTGCTGTGCTGGAGCTGACGTGTCGACAAGGGCAATTTGTTTTTGGATGCAACCAAACAGAACATGTCCACTTTTCGGAACAGCCGCTACAGCACTTCACCCATAAATATGAATTTCTCATCAACACTTTTCGAATGTGCCTGACTCCTGCCTCTTTCTATCCATAAAGGGGTGCATACAATACACTGCAAATTGTTCTTTTACACGCCATTTTGTTCCCGGCCAATATCCGAGCAAGGAAGTCACATAGAGCTTTGCTATACATGTAAAAAAAAAACGACACCTGCATCTTCCCACGGAAAAAAAAACTCGAGTAAATGCGTCGCAAAGTGGTAAGGAGATCAGGTGAAGGTTGCGTGATTAGGTATGGTTCGTGAATGCCTAATTATTACTCTGTCATTATTATCCTGATTTATTTAATGAAAGAGAAGCAAACGAGTGATGGACCGCTGATGTGCCATCCAGTGGGTGGCCAGTGAACGGTTTTGCAGCTCGAACCGTCGTTTTTTACTAGCGGACGCTGCCTGCGTGAGCCTTGCAAGACGAAAGAGGGGGGGGGGGGAGCAAACTGTTGGCACGAGACCATCAAGGGACGCAAGCAAGCGGCACGATACGCGAGGCACGAGCATGCGCAGTGGGTGTGTGGACATCGCCGCCGATGCACGACGCATCACATCGTGCAACGAAGAACTGGCAGCCCGGGACACTGCAACATAAATCAATTTTAGCAAATGTCCCGTAACTACAAAGGACGTTAGCCCAACGCTTGAGTACGTATGTAATGCTTATGAAATTTGATAGCCCCGCAGCATTACAAGCGATATTGGGGTGTCAAAACAATACGGTCAATTCAAAAAGTAGTTCCGAGATCTGGCGTGGCTCTGTGGTAAATACTCGATTGTACGCAGATAGATTGTGCTAGATTTCTGCTGAGACCATGTTATTTATTGTATGCTTTCGTCAGGTGGAAGAGGGGGGGGGTGAACTCTGCCAACGTAAGCTATTTTCTTAACGCTTATGCATTAAAAATACCCATGTGTGTTGTCGCCGTTCCTGTCCAGATACTAAGTTTGACTCACCTGTTGCCGATACCCACTAGGCAGTGGCGCATGCCTGCCCGCGAGTATGTGCCACTGTTTAACGGGAAGTGGTCGACGACATACGTGAGATGATTTTGACATTATTCAAGTCTTGACTAGCGCATCATATTCGTCTAATATTTTCGTTCTATTTGTCAAACCATCTTCGCCATCGCGTCACATTCGTTCGTCACTAACACAGTGTAGCCCATCACCTCGAAATCCAGATATACAGACTCAATGCTAATCACTCGCACATTGCACATATACTGTATGAAGACATCAATTTCGCAGATATACAGCCTGTAAGAATTGTAGTGAAAGGAGTGTAATGAAGAACAAAACCAAAGCAAGAAGTTTCGAGTTATTTTCTTCTTCGAACGGCCGAATTCTTTACAAAGTAATTCCATGCCAAACATTTCCGACATTTTGGCGACCGTCTCACATCTGTTTTTTGTATAAATCGTGAGAATTCGCTGCATGAAAAACAGTGAAATCGTAGAATATTTCCAAGAGGAAAAAATATGGTTACGAGGCTGCCTTGTGAACTTCCCGGAATGTCATTTTTGTGTTTGTTTAAAAAACTTATTTCTAAAGTACTGCTCGTTTCTATACCACAATTGGTGTACACGTTAATTAAAGGTTTTTATGTAAGTTGCTTGAAACTCAGTAACATTAGTGTGATTTTCTTGGCACATAAGTGAATAATTTAGCCAAAAATGTGTTACGTTTGTATTTTTTCTATTGCAGTACTGCATTTTGTATGAAAATGTTAGTGAATACTTACACCAAAAAAGCAATGATTTCAGGAAAAAGCATTTAATACCTCTCAAGCTGCTAAACACAATCTGTCCTCCATCTTTCAGCAGATCTGATGTTACCTGATCCTCACCAGCAGCTTTGCCCCTTTGCATGCTCTCCAAAGCTTTCCTGACTTCTTCTATCATTACTGGTGGGGTGTAATCTGGGTTACTGCTTGTTCTTATAGTATTAAGGCCGTGGTTGTCACGGCTACTGTACAGATCTCTGTAAAACTCCTCTGCTATTTTAACTATCCTATCCATATTGGTAGTTATTTTGCCTTCTTTGTCCCTTAGTGCATACATCCGACTTTTGCCTATCCCAAGTTTCCTCTTCAATGCTTGGACACTTCCTCCGTTTTTCAGAGCGTGTTCAATTCTCTCCATGGTATACCTTCTTACATCGCATACCTTACGTCTATTAATCAACTTCGAAAGCTCTGCCAGTTCTATTTTGTCTGTTGTACTTGACACTTTCATGATTTGACGCTTCTTAATTAGGTTCTTCGTTTCCTGGGAAAGCTTGCCAGTGTCTTGTCTAACTACCCTGCCTCCAACTTCCACTGCACACTCCGTAATGATACTCGTTAGATTATCATTCATTGTATCTACGCTAAGGTTCGTTTCCTCACTAAGAGCCGAGTACCTGTTCTGCAGCGACACTCTGAATTCCTGTACTTTCCCTCTCAGTGCTAGCTGATGATTGGCTTCTTGCGTATCAGTTTCTGTCGTTCCTTCTTCAAGTCTAGGCGAATTCGAGACCGTACTATTCTATGGTCACTGCATCGTACCTTGCCAATCACTTCCACATCCTGCACGATTCCAGGTTGTGCACTCATTATAAAGTCTATTTCGTTCTTATTTTCGCCATTAGGGCTCCTCCATGTCCACTTGCGGTTTTCTCGTTTTCGGTAGAAGGTATCCAAAATCCGTAAATTATTGCGTTCTGCGAATTCTACTAGTAGCTCTCCTCTGGCGTTTCTAGTACCGATGCCATAATCCCCTACTGCCTGGTCTCCAGCCTGCTTCTTCCCTACCTTTGCATTAATGTCGCCCATCACTATAGTATACTGTGTTTTTACCTTACTCATTGCCGATTCCACGTCTTCATAGAAGCTTTCAACTGAAGCGTCATCATGGCTGGATGTAGGCGCGTAAGCCTGTACTACCTTCATCTTGTATCTTTTATTCAGTTTAATTACAATACCTACCACCCTTTAATTAATGCTATAGTGTTCCTCTATGTTGCCAGCTATGTTTCTGTGAATTAGGAACCCCACTCCCAGTTCTCTTCTGTCTGCCAAGCCCCTGTAGCAAAGGACGTGCCCATTCTGTAGCACCGTATAGGCCTCATCTGTCCTCCTAACCTCACTGAGCCCTATTATATCCCATTTAACACCCTCTAGCTCCTCGAATAGTACAGCTAGACTTCCCTCACTAGATAAGGTTCTAGCATTAAACGTTGCCAAGTTCAGGTTCCAATGGCGGCCTGTCCGGATCCAGAGATTCTTAGCACCCTCTGCTGCGTTGCAGATCTGACCGCCGCC